GCGGGGTGCGGGGGCGGGGGTTTGGGCTGGGAGCGGGGGTGGCGGGGTTGGGGCAGGGCCGGGGTTGTTTTTGCGGGGGCGGGGGTCGGGTAGCCCCGCGGCGGGGTTCCGGGGTTGAAACCCCTACCCCGGCTTGGGCCCCGGGGATCCCCGCGTGACAACGCTGATTATATATGTGCTTTAGGGTATATCTGTATTCAGTTTTGCCATATTTGAAGCAGTAACAAAAAACTTAGCAAAAGTTTCGACAACATTGTTTGTAGCGACGCGGCAAAAAAACCCAAATTTTTGGCCTTCCATTAACCACTAGTGGCGAGTGTTGTGATTGTGAGAAGTGATCGTCCCATATTTATTCCCCTACCCCTATATATTTGTGTACCTATGTTGGGAGTTCGCGTGGCCTGAGGGCCCCGCAGATTAAGGATTTAATTAAGGGTTGAGATTGAGAAAAGAGGGGAAACCCCTTTATTCTGTTGAATGTTTTTTAAGTATTTTCTTAGTCGGATGTTGGTCCTGAGCCTGGATTCAAGGTCCTTGTCCAGGACATCCCAGGCCCTAGACTCTGCATGGAAGGGATTACCCCTCAGATAGAGCTTACTTGCCTTGCCTGCCGAGACACTCAGGCCAAAGGCCGGAGGTCTCGCGGCCGCCATACGGCTATTCCTTCAGCCGTGCAATGTCGTGAGGGAGTAGACCCTCACGATACTTCGAGTCTATCACGTGAGTGTCATAAGCGGTACTCGGATCTACGAGAGGCTGCATGATTATAGGCACTACATAGTACGCCATCATTGCGACTGCTTGCGTACGCTGGCATTGCCAGTCGATAGGGGTAGGCATTGCGTCCGTGTGGTTTCATACTAAGTCTCCTGCGTGACGCTTATCCGATTCCGCATGAGAAAGTTATGGGTTAGCTAGCGAGGGACTAGGAGCGTTGTTGCATTGCTTGTTTAGTACCGTTCTATATATGTGTATGTACGTGCCTATGTGTGTGTGTTTTTATTTTTATGTTCCTTGTAGTGGTGTGTGAGTGGCGTGTGGGATGCGTCCTAGTCGACCGACGACGAGTCGCGCTTGGGACCTCAGGCCCCCAAGATGTCAGTTCGCCGGTGGGTCTGATAGAGGCGTATTACCGCGCGTACCCCCTATGCTACAACGAACGAGAAATGCCCTCGGTTGATCCACCTCTGCGATTGCACCTAATCAACTTTCATACTGTGGACTGGTAGCTCGACGGGGATATGCCCACCGAAGGGAGGTGACAACTCTCGTAAGTGGAGGTAGGTCGTGCCTCGCGTAGACCCTATCCTGTCGTAGGGGCTCGCGGGAGGTATGGCTGGCGCACTCGGCCGGAGCGGCTTGAGGAAGCTCCATGTATATTCTCGACGAGGATTTAGACCAACTCCTGCATGACGTGGCTGGGAGGGTCCCGCGCTGCCTCGTGCAGTGCCGGACTGATGCGCTCGACAGGTGGCGCCGTTGCCGGGGATAACGGAAGCCTACCGTTGTCACTGGTGGAACGACATCCGGGTATTGGATTGAAAGAAAATTAGGCATGTACGGAAGGCATTGATAGACTGCGAGATGAACTGAATGGTGTCTTGCGTGGTTATGTGTGAAAGAACTGATTGTTAGTGACTCTGATTGGTAGCTTGATTGATTGCATGATTGGGAGGATTGCATAGGAAGTCCTATGGCGGGGGCAGACTATAAGCCTAGGAGTAGAGGTAGTGTCTGTTGGACCTAGGGTGTGTAGGATTGATATAGGGAGCCTGATAGAAGTGTGTTGAGTCAGGCTGCTGAGTAACGCTTTCTATTTTCTCTCATAACAGAGAAGTTGAGAAAGGAGCAACTGACCAAGATGACGGAAGGTATGGGCGATGGTTCAGGAAAGGTCCTGACGCTCGACGATCTTATTGAAGCTTTGGACAGGCGAGAAAGGGCACCGAGTAATGTTCCGAAGGTTGATACATTCAACTTCAATGGAGAGCGGGTCTCTGACTGGTTGGATCTGGTTGAGCAGGCGCGAGTGGGGCTGTCAGATGAAGTAAAGCTCCAGCGGATTTTGAGGTACGTCGTTCATGAACATCACAAGGAAGTGGGCAAGGTTGTGGATGCCGCCAATGGTAGTTGGGCAAGGTTTAGGGATGGGATGCAAAGAAAGTACAGACTGGGTGATGACCTGCTAACTACAACAGATTTGGAGACCATGAACAAGGACGATTTCACCACGATCGGGGCGTTTGTGCAAGAGTTTAAGAAAAAGGCGAGGAAAGTGCATAGGATTTCTGAAGAAGCACAATGCGCTATCTTTTTGGGGTTGCTCACCGCCTCAGAAGCTTCGGAGCTGACGAGCCATGGGGGAGGAAGTGCGAAGCTCACCTGGGTTACTATTGATAAGGGAGTGGAGGATGAAAGTTTGGACCAGGTAGAGCAACACCAAATGCGCCTGCAGAGGCGGAAGAAGAAGGAAAAGGGACGCCACCGCATCTGGGACCCCAGGAGTGAAGAGGATTGTCACGGACGTGCTGGCGGAGTTAGGTTATGGCAAGGATGCTAAGGTGCAGAAAAAAGTAATGACTGTGGTCCAAGGTCGGGTGTCAGAGGTGGGGGACGAGAAGACCGGACACAAGGACTATGGCGGGGAGGAAACGGGTTCCCATGTCCTGACCAAGGCACAACGCAAACAGCGCAATCTATTGACAAGCAGGAAGGGCTCTGGAAAGGGGCAGATCCCACAGACGATCATGACGCCACCGGCCGCTGCCGTGAGTGCATCCATGTCAGCAGGGCCTTCGCAGATGGGACCACGGACAACATATGGATATTGGCTGCACTATTGCCCAATGGCACCCTGGCCCAGTTCCCCCAGGACCAATGGTTCCCTATTCAGGTCCACTGGTGAATGGGGGACTACCAGGTTTTCCGGTAGCCCAAGGTTAATTTGCGGCCCAACCTCCACCCTCGCAGCGGGTATTGCAGGCTAGCGTGGCTGGAGGAGAGAACCAAGGGCAAGGTGGGCAGGGCAATGGAGGTCGAGGCCAGGGAGGTCGAGGAGGCGGTGGCCGAGGCCAGGGAAGGAACGGTGGGGGTCGTGGCGGTGGATGGAATGGCCAAGGGGGCCAGGACCAAGGAGGCCAAGGTGGTCAGGAAGGGGGCCAAGGATATGGAAGGCCCCACTTCGATTGGCGGAAAGCCATTTGTCGGCATTGTGGTTATCAAGGCCACACCGTACGGTTTTGCCAAGGGCGGCGGGACGATGAGCTCTCCAGGTTGATTTCCACCAATATGGACGGGGATATATACGATAAATTCGGGAAGTATATTGACCCAAAGACTCCAGGCGGAGTCAGGCAAGAGGCCCAAAGGCGGGCGGAGGCAGGGCCAGCACCCCCGGCGATGTTCAGGATGTGGCAGAATAGAGAGGACTCGACTGTAAGGGTCGAGGAGATTGTGGGAGAAAACGAGGAGGTGACTCAACGACTAAAGGCAGGGACTATAAAGGAAGAACCGATAGTCGTTGAGTTGGATGATGAGGAGTTGGGAGAGGAGGGAGAGCCGACCGTAACCATCCTGGAGAAGATGAAGGACTTGTTGGGGAAAGTGGATAGGTATCAGCAGAAGTTAAAGAGTTTGTGTGATGAGACCCATGAGTGGAAGGCCAACCTCCCTTGAGTCGTCCTCTATGAGTTCGGGCCCGAATCGTCGTTGGGACAACAGGGGTACCCGAGGGTTGCGGCTGTGGGACCAGGCCCTAGGCCGGGAATGACCTGTAGGCCCCCGACGTCGCATGGAAGAGTGCCACAGGCGGCGCGGACCAGAAGTCAGAACAAGGCTGAAACCAGTCAACTGCCCAGCCAGGCGCCTGGTCAGGCGCCCCCTCGAAGGGAACCTGAGCCCGAGCGCAGGAAGGAGGTAGTGGAGGTCCCGGAAGAGGAAGAGGAGGATGACGACGAGGAGGATGAGAGGCTCCGACAAGAGGAAGACCAGCGGGCGAAGCTAAGGGCTAGGAAGAGAGACGTTCAGGAGAAAGCTGAGCCGAGCCAACCTGACGGCGTACCTAAGAGGAAGAAGTACACGGTTCAGCTGGAAGAGGGCTTTGATGTGGAAAGGATGGTGGATACGGGCGTAGAAATGAACATCATCTGGGAAAGGGAAGCGATCATGTTGGGAATGGAGGTCGACTGTTCGGACCACGGTATGCTACATGGCGCCAATTGCAAGGCTGTCTTTTGCGGCACGGCGTCCAATGTGATCGTGGAGATTGGCAAGGTACGAGCAAGGACTTGTTTCTTCATCATGCCAAATGTCGACCATTCTATCCTCTTGGGGAGATCGTTCCTGTGCAGGACGGAAACTCTGATTTTTAACAAGCACGATGGGACGATGATCTTACTCTTGTGCGATCCGGCCTGCGGGAACTACGAAGTCATCACCTCCCGGAACACGGGGCCAGGGAGAGGAAGAAATAGGCCTAATCTCGGCTCGTTCACCTTCGAGAAATCTGAGAACGAGCGGCGGAGGCACTGGGAGCTGCCCGAGGAGGAAGGAGGGGCCGAAGTGCTGACACTAAGCCTTACTGATGTAAATAAGGTCATGGAGGTAGTGGCAACGCGTGACATGGCGGACCCCGAGACCATGAGGGCACTGAGGGAGCAGGTTTTGGAAAGCCCGCAGGTGGGAGAGGTGGAGGGGGAGGTCCTGCGATGGCACAACGCAAACGGCAAGCCGACCTTTTTTAGGAGACGGGTTAAGCAAGGTTCCCAAAGGAGGTACAATACGATAAATAAGAAGTGACGCCCAGTTCCCGTGCTCGTTACTGAAGATGAGGAGGCCTATTACGAGCGGGAACGAGGATTGATACGGCGCATGCGGGAGCAAGCAGCGAGTGGTTCATGTCGTATCAACGATGAAAATGAAGGGAAACTGATAATTGGAGAGCCTGACTTCCTTTCGCCCCAAGAGAAGGTTCTGATGGTGGGGTTAATGAAGGAGAGTCATCGCGCTTACGCCTTCAATGATGATCAGCGTGGGAGACTGGATGTGGACAAGATTCCGATGATTCGGATCCACACGGTCCCACAAGAGCGTTGGAATCTAAGAGGCGTGCGGTATCCCAACCCTAATGAGGAGAAGATTGTGGTGGATTACCTGGACGACAAGATGTGCATGTACGTTGCCGACTATTCTAGTGGGTCGTATGCTTCCTCCTGGTCTTGCTTCGTTAAGCCGATCGGGACGCGGCTAAATGTGGTGACGGTGCGAGACGTGAGAGGATTGTCGAACGCAGACGCATTGTCAGAGTCATGCTAAGGGAGACCTATAATTTTACATATAGACCTCTACTCTTCGTATGACCAGTTTCCTGTATATCCGCCAGATAGGCCAATAACGGCAATGCATACGCCTAGAGGGCTAATTCATATGAATGTAGCCCCTCAAGGCTGGATGAATGCGGTGGCGATGGTGTAAAGGCGCATGATTAGAGCCATGCAGACGGTCAGTCCACACATCACCCAGACTTATATCGATGACTTGGCGGTTAAAGGGCCGAAAGAAAGGGAGGAAGATGAAATGATGCCCGGAGTAAGGCATTTTGTCTGGAAGCATGTCCAGGACCTTGATCAGGTCCTGAGCCTGTTGGAAGAATACAGCCTTACAGCAAGTGACCCAAAGTCCAAACATTACATGAGGGAAGCGACCATCTTGGGTTTTGTCTATAATGAGAGTGGTCGAAGACCTGATGTGAAGAAGACAGACAAGATCGTGGAGTGGTCAGTACCCTTTCGTTCGATAACGGACGTAAGGAGCTTCCTCGACACTTGTGGATTCTGGAGGAGCTTCGTAAAGAACTTTGCCGCCAAGACTGAGCATCTGAGGAAGCTGGTACGTCAGGATCAGGAATGGGTTTGGGGTGGAGATCAGGAAGAGGCTGTGAAGCGGATGAAGGAAGAGTTTAAGGAAGGAGGCTTGGTGTTAGGAGCGTCAAACTATGAGGTCACGGAGGAAAAACCGTTCATCATCGAGACGGGTGCTGGGCCAACTGCCCTGAGAGGAGTTTTGGTTGAGGCGGATGCCGAAAGGAAGGAGAGACCACTAAGGTTCGAAAGTCGGACTCTTAATACGACTGAGAGGAACTACTTCCGGTTTAAGAAGGAGACGCTTGCGGTACTCCACTGCCTTAGGATCTTCGGGTTTGGCAGGATGTTCATATTGAGGGTAGACCCCACTGCGCTCGCCTGTTCCCTGAAGAACTGTACTCCATCTGACCCAACCGTCGCAAGATGGTTGACGTACATTTGGATGTTTAACTTTGAGTTGGAGAGGATTCCAGGGGACAAGAACAGGGCAGATGGGTTGAGCCGCATCAACAGGGATGGGCCAGATCAAGAGTCGATAGAAGACACTCCACCAGTTGTTGGGTTCTTGGACCAAAAAGAAGACGTCTGCCTCCATATAAACGAATGGTCCTTGCGAGTGCCTAGTTGCGTCAGTCACCCCACATGGCTAGCACCTAGGGGGTATGAGCAGAAGGCGGAGTTAGTCCTCAAGCCCTTTCGGGAGGAGGATCCATGGGGAAGTAGGGATGTTCATTGGATGATGAAATTGGCATTGGCTGATACACACAGTTTGGTGGAGGAAGTGAGGACGACAGAGGAGGGTCCTACTCAAGTAGAGGAGCATGGGCAGTTAATGGGAGGAATGTATCTTCTTACGAACACGCTTCTGTAAGGGGACTTTGACCGAAAGGGCTCATTATGTCCGATGGAGGGCGAGGACCTCGTTCCTGAAAGTCGGATTGACGAGTTTGAGGAAGGGGAGATCAAGGAAGTTTTTCGTGCGGAAGAATATGATGGGATCTACATGGAGTAAGTTTTTCGTGCGTAGGAATATGATGGGATGTTCTTGGAGTTGGGGCTGCTCCTGTCCTCTGAGATGAGGGATAAAGATGCGAGTGTTAAGGTACAGAAGATGAGGCACCTCTATGTGGTAAGAGATAGCCATTTGTTTATAAAGCGACAAGTCGGAAACCCCAAGCGGATTGTGTGTGGGAGAAACCGACAAGTCGATGTTATCGCAGCATTGCACGATGGTATAGCAGGCAGGCACAGAGAGGTAAATGCCATGTACGCTAAGATAAGCAAGCTATATTATTGGAGTGGAATGTTGGATATGGTCATCAAGTACTCTCAGTCTTATGTACCCTGCCAAGAAAGGTCGACGCAATGGCCAGGGGAGCCCCTACACCCAAGGCTGGAAAGAGAAGTGGGTGCAGTTGTACACCTGGATCTACTCTTCATGCCGGTCGGGTAGAACGGATGTAATTACATCTTCGATGCACGGGATAACCTTACTGGGTTTGTGGATGGTCGAGCTATTCTCACGAAGACCGACCCAGTTTTGGCGAGCTGCATCGAAGAGTATTATCTGCGCTACCCTTTCGTCAAGGAGTTCGTGATGGATCGAGGATCGGAGTTCACCTGTAAGGAGGTGCAGACTTTGCTTGCATGGTATGGCGTAGTGGAGAATTATACTACCGCTGCACATCCTCAAGCAAACGCGCCTGTGAAAAGGGGGCACAGTACCATCACGAATCTTTTAGCCAAGTGGACGGAAGGCAAACCCGGCCAGTGGCCGAAGTTCCTGCGAGCAGCCTTCTTCATGGAGAATGTCACAGTGAAGAGAACTACCAAGTACGAGCCAACCACCTTGTGGTACGGGAGGCACGCCACCTTTCCCATAGAAAGTTTTATGAAGACATGGAGGTGCAAAGACTTGGAAGTCGACCTGTCTTTTGAAGAGTCAATTGGGCACGACAAGTAGGTGTTGCTGAAGAAAGGTTGCGAGAGGCCTCTAATCAGGTGGAAAGAAGTCGCATGGATGATAAGATGCGATGAGACCAGATGGCGCGAGTGAGGAAGGAACCATTGGCAGTTGGGGATGTCGTATTGCTGTACGACTCCTCTTTGGAGAAGCAATGGTCGAGGAAGCTCGACAAAAGGTGGATAGGGCCCTATAAGATTTTGCGGTGCGACGAATTTGGAGCCTACCAGATCGAGGAGCTGGACGGGACAGGGTGGCAAGATTAGGTGTCAGGGACCAGGTTGAAGAAGTTTGTGGTCAGGGAACAGGTAAAGAGTTCCATACCCCCCAAAATAAACCTTCTCTAAAGGTGTCGCATGTCCTGGTTAGACTAAGTAGGGGGTGGAAGGGATAGGTGTGTATGTGTTTGTCGTAGACTTGATGGACTTGATGGTTGATCTTGCTGTGTGCCTGGTTACTTTCTCTCGCGTGATAAGCAGGTCTGACTTTTCAAAGACAGTAATGCAGAGGGGCGGGAGGGATGCACGACCACGACAAAGACCCTTGGGAGCACCTAGAGGGGATGACCAGCGCAGGCCTTTTGGGAGGGAGTCCACGCCTGCCTTCGAAGATGATAACATAGGGCTCTTCTTGGACGCCTACCAGGCTCATGCGACACGGGAGGGGTGGACTACCATGGAGATGATACGGAATATGAGGGGGGTTGGACGTTTCGAGGACACTGTCGCGCATATTGGAGAGGAGGCTTTGACCAGGCCAGATGTGGAGGCGAGGATGAAGAGGCTGAGGGTTTCGTCGGTGGGACGCGATGGTTTGCCTATCCGGCTGGAGGAAGGCAATGCGGAGGAGTTCATTTCAGCCTACGAGCAGTATATGTGCGATCAGGGGACCGTGCAGGAAGAGTGGATGCAGACATTGCTCCTCTGGACGCGAAGGGCAGAGAGGCTATTGGCGGGACAGATTCGGGATAGGGCGTGTGATTGCGAAGACTGTCGGACTCAACTTAGGTAGGCGTTCCGACGGCCAGAGCCTGAGAGGCCAGAGCCCAGGGCTGAGAGAAGGCAGAGAAGTAAGAGACCACGGGACCCAGAAACGAGGGAGGTCACTACAACTAGGAGAGGCCGAAAGGCCTTGGCACGGCAAGAGGAGGAGTCGGTGGAGCCTACTCAGGCAGTAGAGTCACTCCCTACTTATGGACTTGAGCGAGTGGAGTTAAGATCACTAGCGATGACCTACAGAGGCCTTCGCCGAGATTGCCAGAGGAGGGACAGGATGTACCATTGAAGACACCGCTCGGGATTATGGAGGCCCACCTCGATGCTTTTAAATGGGGGACCTCGCAGTTGGGAGTGGGTCTGGTTGAACTGGTGTCGGGGCAGAAACCCTGACAATGGTATCTTCCCGGTGTTTTTAAATGTCAGACGACGTCCGACTTAGTGAATGGTTATTCGGGCTTCATAACTTCATGAGATGGGATTATCTGCCAAAAGTTTATTCAAACCTAACCTATGACCGAGAAACAAAAACTTTTTAGAACCCTAGTCCGGACGTCTACGGCATCCGAGAGTAGTGGCAGTGACCGAACATGCTTCGCTTTGTTGAGATCACAGAGGAATGTGCGGACATGGGAACACTAAAGTTAGACCTATTCTACCTATAATAAGGTGGCGCGGCTGTACAGACGCGCGATTCAGGGCCTAAGTGGGCTAAAAAAGGGTTGCGTCGGGTATGGGGCCGCGACGCAGGAGGAACAGGAAGTTATGTTTGTATTTTTTTGGGCCCGCGGGCTTGATTTTGAGCCAGGGAACCGATAGGTCGATGTCGGGGCCTATCCGGTTAGATGACCTACCAAGCCGCGGTCACGCGGCTAACCGGTAGGGCAAGGTCACAGGCAGGCAAGGTCATAGGCAGGCGGGGCCTGCAAGGCCACCGGCGGGGGGAAATAGTTGTTGGGCAGGCTCTTCTTATAAAGGAGCAGCTCCTATCTCTACCGTGGTGGGAGCTAGCCCAGTAGGTACCGGTACTTGACTCTTACCCCGCTGATATGGGGATTGAATCTCACTCGCTGTACCGTCGGGCTAACTCCTTTTGGAGCCGGTCGCCGGACATTTGGCTCGGCTAATCCCTGTCGTCCGATCGTGAGATCACACGGCTGAGATCAGCCGCGCGGATCGAGGATGGTCCCTGCGCAAGGATGACACACATAAATGAGGAAGGAACCAAAATTTTTCTTTTTTTTTTTACTTTTTTGAAAAAAAAAAAAAAAAAAAAGACTTACCAGTCCCGTATCGGAATGCCGAAGCGCCAAGATACGGGCTTTGG